GGGACTTGTAGGTTTGCGCTTGTTGAGCATCTTTATAATCATGGTGTCATTGTCGTGCTTGAGCTCGTAGTAGATGTCGTTCGTCGTCGCGCACATGTTGCATGGAGGTGACTTGCCCTTCATGATGATTTGGATCATGAATGTGATGATGGTTGCCATGTAGAAGTGGATGTGGACAAAATGCGCTTGCATCGCTTGGGTGCTCCGAAGATGATCGACTTGGTCGCCGCCGCCTTGAAGATGACGAAGGGGAAGTAGATTTGTAGTTGGAAAACATTTGTCGGATTTCCTCCATGTATTTGTCCATCTTTTTGTTGTGGTAGTCGAACGTGTCGTCGAAGTAGTCCCTTTTCCTTGCTTCAGAGTGTCGTAAGTCGGTGGCGATGTTCTCGATGCCTTGCATTGCTCGTTGTAGTCCGAAGTGGTTAGTATTGGTGTTGGAGTTGTTCACGCCATAAATGTCGTCGAAGACCGGATATGAAATGCTTTGCCTATCCATCACAAGACTCAAGCAAATGTGAGTGGGAGAAAGAGAAGAACTAGACCAAATGTACCTTGTCGAATGCTGAAAATGGATCAATGATCACTCGATAGTGTAGCAAGGAAATAGCACAATTGGTACCGGATCTTATCAATTCTCACACCTACACAATTAAGGCTTATGGAGTAGCTTGGTGAGGATAGTGGCACAAAAATTTGATGCAAAATGTTAGCAAGAGTCAATAATGTTGAAAGAGATTCACAAATTCGCAAGTGAAACAAGTAGACCAATAGCAATATGTGGCACAAGAAAACACACACACGGATAGATAAATGGGGTCATGCAACCAAGGAATGAGCACAAAATGTGGAATCCACGGAAAATGCTCGTGTTGCACAATTAAAGAGAGACGCTAGCACGATTGCTGAATACGCAGATACAACATTTGTGAACTACCAATAAGATGCCAAATGTATCAACTTTCTTCCCAAGTATGCTATGTATATATGATTCCCGGTGTTCCTCTCAAGATGATCCAAGGTGACCGGATATGATAATCTTATATGTAATGTGGTATGATGCTATGGCTATTGCTTACAAGCTCTTTGTTTCTCTTTGCTTAAAAGCTTATTATTTCTCTCTTTTTTTGTTATGGCCACTATGCGAAATGCATAAACCAAGATAGCAATTGTGTATATGCAGGAACAATCTTATGACACAAGAGATGATATGATGATACCAAGATGATATGGTAATTATGCAATGAAGGGCGGATCGATGATCACTAAAGTGCACAAGTAACGTTGCCGGCAATACTCAAAGGCTAGTCTCAATAGGCAAGGTATGCAAAATGGGCTAGGGGTTAACAATGTAATGGCAAGGTGAAAATATACGATGATGTTGTCAAGGTTACCGTCCCTTGCTTACGGTTGATGGTGTCCAAATGGTGAAGTGGTCAAGTGTCGATGACGACCTCATGGAGATGATGAGTGGCGGTGTCCTCAACGTCGAACCATTCCTTATTAGCCGAAACACCTTAGGAAACGGAAAAACCGCGAACTCAAAATGTCAAATGGTGGTAGCGGAATGCGGTGGTGGTAGCGGAATGCGGTGGTGGTTGCGGAAGTATTGGTGGAAACCCAGTCAAAATGGGTTAAGGTAGCGGAAAGGTATGATGGGCTATACACGGTGTCGGAGTTGAAGGCACGGTCCGTAAGTAGCCGAAACACCTTATGAGACACAAACCACAACTCAAACAACCTCAAATGCAATGGGGAACAAAATGGGTTAGGTTGCAGAAGTTGGTGGTGGTATTGCAGACGATATGGTGGAAGCCCTAGGCAAAGATGCCAAAGTTTCAAAAATATGGAGTCAAATGATGTTGGAAGTATTTTTGTGGGATGGAGGATGTCAATAGCTTCAAAACGAGCTAAAGAACGCCAAAATCCGAGTCCGAATGAATTAGTTATGGTCAAAACAGTGAAACATGGGAGGTTGAAACTCCAGGGGTCAGACATACGGGGTCGGGGGAGGAAATCCGGGCTATGTGTACATAACCGCGTCAGTTTTTTGCTCTAGGAGCCGGATGTCCAGGTCTACGAGTCGGATGTCCGGGCTCCAAATCCGAGGATGAACTCGATGAACGCGATTTTGGGGGCAGAAATTGATGATTCCATGGGCAAAATTGGAGAGATTTCATGGATGGAAAGTGGAGAAAATTGGGGAGAATGTAGATCTATTCAAGACACAACAAATCCATGGATCAAATTCAACAAAACATCATCAAACCAATAAATCACAAAAAAATTAAGGGCTACTTTTGGTGGGGATTTTCAAAATTAGGACGAAACAAAGCAAAATTAGGCTAGAAACGAAGGGGGAGAGTCCAAAATCATGATCAGCATGGCTCATGATACCAAGATGATGTAGGGTGGAACCCTAGGGGTCGATCTTTCACGATTTGGAGGGGATCCCACAAAGAACACGAAGAACACACGAGAGGGGAAACGAGAGGAAACACTCAAATCAACGAGAAATGATCACACATGTGCTAGATCCACATATAAATAGAGGTCACAAAGATCCGAGGACAACAAGGGAGGATACACGGTCGCTAGTTCTTCCCAATCCATGAGGAGATGGGGTCTTGAATCCATGAGGGGATCTTCCCTGGACGGGGGGTCTTGAATCCACTTGGGGGATCTTCTCCTAGGAGGCATCAGTCTCCAATGGAGTAGGGGTACAAGTGATGAGCAATGCTCTAATCTCCAAAATGAGCTAAGACAATGCTAACCCTAGCTACGTGGGGATGAGGCTCTATATATAGTGCTAGTGTAAGTTGGGGCGACTTGGAAGGATACATGGGTCGGAGGCCCGTTACACTGTGCGTCGACAGGGGCCGGATGTCCACGGCAGGGGCCAGAAGTCCGGCAGCTCGTGTCGGGCCGGATGTCCGGGGCCTGTGCCGGATGTGCCGGCTGGCAGGGGCAGCCTTCGGTAGCATTCTGTGATGGAGGCCGGATTTATGGGCTGAGGGCCGGATGTCTGGCCGCTCGCGTCGGGCCGGATGTCCGGGGCCTAGGTCGGATGTACGGGCCCTGTAGCTCGTCGGCTGGGCTGCTGTTGTAGTCACCTTCAGCGAACGGATGTCCGGGTCCTGGGAGCTGTCTTCGGTCCTCGTCGTCGTTCCTCTTCATCCATGTACTTGGGGACTTGTCTGTGATCCCGAGCATCTCTGAGAGGGTCTTCTTGGTACCTAAGCACATGTAGTGTCTTTGCATGAGGTAGCAACCATGTCTCACACGAACGGAAGGGAAACATTTAGGAGCTGGTTCACCTTGTGTCCAAAGGCGTATGCTTGAGGTCTCGTCGTATGTCCACTTGGGTCTTGGGGAGTAGTCGTAGTGTACATGGGGATGATCGTAGGATGCTCAGCATCACTATCGATGGAGATCAAGCACGAGGTCGCCACCCTTGCCTCTGCCTGGCAGAGCCGCCGTGCTAGGCGGATCGAGGCCGGCATGCCAGCCGGTTCCCACGAGGTCTCGGACGATGACCCCACAATAGAGACGAGGTCCGACGACGACACCGTGCCGGAGCCCACGCCGGTGCATGTCGGCTCGACCATGGAGCAGACGCACTACGCGGCGCCATGGCGGATGAGGAGAAGCTTGCGCCGGCTCCTATGTCCCTGCTCCTCGAGTAGCATCGGCTGGTGGAGGACCAAATCTATGGCGAGCGTGCAAGCAAGGAGGTCGTGCCATGGCCGCGGCGAACCCAAACTTTGTTCGGAGTAGCAAGCGCTCTACAAGTCCACGCATGCTCAATGCGCCGCTCGCAACGTAGTGTCGGCAGCCGGACGCGGAAGCGGCCACACAAGCGCTGCCGATCGAGGACGAGAACACCGCGAGTTGCCCGTCCTACGCGCCGCCGCCCAAATTTCGAGGGGTGGGGGCATGTGGCAGATGGACAGTGACGGACCGTCCACATCCATCAACAACCTCACGTCCACCAGCACCGGCGACAGACAGGTCGTGGACTCCTCCAAGGATGAGTAGGGCATGGTGGTGGCAGGGCATTATGTCGCAAGTGTGTCGGTCTGCCTCCCATGTTCTACTCTTCCTCGCCGGAGACCACACCTCCACTTAACGAATTTGGAACCCTGGCGCCGTCAGTGGAGACGGCGGACGGAGGGCGTGGTCGCCGATGTGGAGTACGAATGAAGTGGACGACAAGCGCCGTCGTAGGATAGGTTTAGGGTCCAACCATTTTTTAATAAAAAAAATGTTCAAAATGTAATGAATTCCGTCCAGTTTATATGAAAATCCATCGTGTTTGCATGATTCCGTCCGGTTAGTTGGAACTCGGTTCAAAATGTATGCGGGCAGCCCGGTTAGTTGGAACTCGGTTCAAAATGTATGCGGGCAGCGTTGGATGTCCGCGAACGGATGCGGAAAAATAATTGCAGGTAAGCGTTAGAGAAATGTAATGATGCAGAAGATGTGTGACTTCAGCTACTAAACCTTTGGTTTAATTTGCAAAAGGTCGAGCTAGTGCCAATGTGAGCGTGGCTACTATAGGCGCTTCTTCCCCGCCGTCTTCCATGATGAACTAGTGATTGGGGCACCATCCTGTGACGCTGCTTAAGAGGAAAATATGCGCACATTTTCATTTAATCCTCGCCTCCGTCTAGAAAAACATCTCAAAAAAATCCTCATTTTCATCTAAAGAAGTTAAAAAAGAAGAAAGAATTACCATCGCAGCCTACAAGCGAGTGCCACTTTGCATAACCCTTCATTTAAAAAATATCAGAGGTCCTCACCTCCATCTAAAAAGGAAAAAATACATATAAAAAATAATCTCCAGCTTCATCTAAAAAAATTCCAAAAGAGTTCTCACCACGGCCAACCAACTTGTGCCATATGGCATAGCTGGTTGGCCGCCCTTTAATGGCAGCAATTTTAGATTGAAACTGACGAAAGCTCTGCAAATAAGCTCAGTTCTATTCCAGCCCCCTCAGCTATGGTTTGCTCTTTCCAACATCCAACCTAGAGAGGCCATCACCATGTGGCGAGAGCCGGTGGCTACATTTGGGACAGATTAACGGGTTGCTCGTGCTTGAGGCTCTCTGCTCATTAAGCTCGTACTCTGTCTTACAACCATGATTAAATACGACACAAAATGTTAGGAGTGTTATTGTTGTTTTAGAATCAGAATTATATTTTGTACTCCCTCCGTTCCTAAATATTTGTCTTTCTAGAGATTTCAACAAATGACTACATACGGGTGTATATAGACATATTTTAGAGTGTAGATTCATTCATTTTGCTCCGTATGTAGTCACTTGTTGATATCTCTAGAAAGACAAATATTTAGGAACGGAGGGAGTATGTATGTTCACTCTAACGTAACAACACATTGGGTTATTGACTAGTACGAGATCAAATAGAAGAATGATACCAGTCTCAGAAAATGGCAATAAACAGACAAATTTCATACAACATTGAACTTCGTCTTGGGTGAAAGTTTTATACCGATTAAACTTTTGGCGATATGACGGATCTCAGAGAGACGTTTTTCTTCAGCTTCACTAGCAGGTGAATCATCTAAAACATGCTGCCTTCTTGGGTCTATAGTTAGATTCTCAAGTGAAGGGGCATTTTGCACAACGTGAACTATAAGTTCAACTTTGCTCTTTTCGCCTCTAAATTCAAAAACTCTAAAGATCGTTAGATACTTGTACTTGTCTTGCCCATATGGGAAGATCCTTAAAGGCCCCGGAACAACATCCATGCATGATGATCTAAACTGCAATAGTCAAAACAATAAATTAGACATTACGGTTAGGGAACTCGTAATAGTAAAAAAAAATCAAATATTGCTTTGAAAGTACAGAGATAACATAATATAGTTTGAATATTTGAATATACAAACTAATTACATGCATTTCACTAATTTCAGTTAAATGAATTAAACCTAGTTATGATGATGTTGGTGATCACATAATTAGTAAAATATAGCAACAAGAAAGGGGGGGAAATCCTTCAACCTGAGAATATTTTGAATTGTAGATACTACTCTAAGATGTGTTGTTTGAAGACAAGGCTTTAACCAACAATTAACCTATTAATATGTATATAAACGGCAGACATAAACCAAATCCTATATAACTGATCCCCACTAACATATTTATCTCAACACGCAACGATGTCACCTCAACATGTAGCCATGCATGGAAAAGCTCACCTCAACATGCAAAAAGGCTCAAAGGTTTTAACTATATTACAATTATACAATAATCGTATATATTTTCAGTTTTAACTCTTATATTATTAACCCAAATATTCATGTTTAATTGTTTATACAATCAAATCTCATTAACAGCAACGTGTGGGGTATCATCTAGTATTAATTAAGGTATTTGTTCATGAAAACTCTATGGGTTTAGATTTCCTCACAGAGTGAGTTCAGTCAGAAAATACATTAGTGGATATACTTTAGAAATTTGCAAAAACACATCAAATTACTGAAGAGCAATTACCTCCAAATCAAACTCCTGAAGGAATGGAGCAGCCTCTAGAAAATATGCAATAGAGAGAATGTCGTTGGCATGTTCAGAGAAGATATTCAACAACAGTTGTAAATATCTCAAATGAGAAAAGCTAGAAGTATTGTCCAATCGCCAGGGGAACTGGAAGGTAAGAAGAAACAGAAAATCAATAGGAGAATGTGGGCAACAAATTATCACAATTATGTAGTATTGCTAGAGCGAACCTTCGGTAGTGCACAAGTGTGACACAGAGTCAGGCGTTGCACTAGTGGATACGCATCAGCAAATGAACAAATAGCTTGCTCTAGTGTTAGTGTATAAGAATGAATAACAATATTGTGCAGTTCTGAAGATTCGCCAAGGTGAATAGGCACCAGCCTCCCTTGGAATATAAAGGTTTGGAGCTTGGGGGCGTTGAGTTCTATCGTAGTTACCCTGCAGTCACTCAGACGAAGGTATAGCAGGCAGGACAATGGCCTGTCCACTTTGAGTTCATCGTTTAGATGAACCATAAACAGATCCAACCACTCTATATTAGGGCAATTGGACACCATACATTGCATATCACTTGCAGACACACGTGTGGAGTATAGACCAAGCCTCCTCAGATTTGGAAAACCGACAAACTGAGAAGGCACTTTGAGCAATACATGGGCAAGCTGAATATGCTGCAGGCAACTTCCAGCGTCCAACAATTGCACTGGAAAAACATACCGTTTATAATGGAACACGTCGAGAGGGGTTAGCGACACATGAAGAATTAGATTCTTTGTCCGTGATGAAACCGCATAACGAACCCAATCATCAAGCTGATCAAATAGTTGGGCAAGCACATCAACAGTCAATCTGAGCTCAAACCGTTCAATTGTCTTGCCCTGGTGCTGGTACAATATTGTGTTCACAATATTGACGAATTGCTGGACATAATGCACCCTGTCCACACATTCGGGCGTCTGGATATGCCGCTGCTCCCTGGTCTTGTATTTACCACCGCACATAGTCAAAATATCGAAGGTTAGTTTAGGATAATGTTTCCAGGTATGCCTCCATGTACTAGACAGAATACTAGTCTTTGCAGCCTCTTTCAGATCCAGTTTTGACAGGATAGTGCACAACAATTCCTGTAGCAGCAGCAACAACAGGTTAGAACAAGTTGACAAATCACGTGTTAGAAACAGAACGGAAAATAAAGTTAAATCTTTTAGACAATAAGAGTATTTGATGATAACAAACACACCTCTGGAAGGATTCCAAACGGATCTTTTGATGCTATCTGTCTGCTGCGGTTTAACTTTCGGGGGGAGCCGCCTGATGGATCTGAAAATACTTCGGGGCGGGTTGGTTGGGGATGAGAATCGTTGTCGTCCATGTGCTGCCAAATAATCGGCTTCAGAATATCGTTGCGGGATAATTTACAATGGCAAATCAAGCTTGGCTTGCAGCCGCTATTGATCAGAACGGTCCCTATTCCTTCTCCGCGCCCATCATCAAAGATCCGTTCGGGACGGCGCGTCAGATTGTTCCCCATCGATCTGAAAAGTGCAAACGCAGGATTTACAACATCACGATGTTATTCTGAAATTTCGATTGTTCTGCTGAAAAATTAAGCTCACCTTACACTTTGTCGACGGGATGAGAATTCTTCTTGCGACTCAGGAGAGCGGAGGTTGAGATCCAGATCCAGAATCAGGCTTTTCACCAAGAAGAGACGATAGGCGGATAGGCTCTCTTATGAGACCTCCTCCTCAGCGCCTACTGCGACAAGTTTTTTATTTTTTTTAGGGATACCTTCTGCGACGGAAAATCCTAACGGACGCTCGTTGCGTCAAGTTGCCGCTGCTTCGCACAGAGGCGAGCGAGCTAGCGATCGAGATGGGCCGGCCCAATTAGGAGATTTCGCACGTGCTACAGCCTCCGGTTTTGGGAAGGTCCTAAACGGTTTTGGGAACCTTCTAGAAGCTTCTTGAACCGGTTTTTTCACTAGTTTTTTCTGTTTGTTTTTCTTTTTTCTTTTTCCTGTTTCTTTTTTTCTTTTTCTTTATTTGTTTTTCTGTTTGTTTATTTCATTTTTCAATTCCTTTTTCTTCTTTTTTAATTTTCTTTTTGTTCTTCAGAATTTCAAATTCTTTTCTAAAATTCTAAAAATGTTTTATAAGTTCAAAAAATGTTCTTGTTATCAATATTTGTTAATAAATAAATAAAATGTTCTTCATTTTCGAAAAAATGTTCGCATATTATAAAAAAAGTGTTTGCTTTTTAAAAACAAATCCATAAGTTCAAAAAATGTTAAACTTTTCAAATTGTGTTTAGGAGTTTCAAAAACTGTTCCCATTTTCAAAATTTGTTTGCCAATTTCCAAAAAATGTTCATGCTTTCAATTTTTTGGGGAGTTTCAAAAATGTCCCCATTTTCAAAAGAAAATTGCCAATTTCCAAAAAATGTCCATGCTTTCAATTTTTATGGGGAGTTTCAAAAAATGTTTCCATTTAAAGAATTGTTTGCAAATTCTAAAAATATGTTCATGTTTCAATTTTTGTTCGGGAGCTTAAAAAAGTTTGCTTTTTAATAAAAAGTTTGGATTTAAGAAAATGTTTCTAGGTCTCAAAAAATGTTCCAATTTCAAAAAATGTACGGAATTTCAAAAAATGTTCATAAATTTTGGAAATTGTTTGCGTTCTCAAAAAATATTCGTTTTACAAAAAAAGCTTGAAATTTTAAACCACTAAAAGTCGGTTGCTACAGGACACTGGACATACAAAGCCCGTCTGCTACAGTAGCCTACTCTCTGCAGTGACCCGGCTCGCTAGAGTGCATCGCTTGCTATATGAGCCAGCCTCATAAGGGAGCGCGCCTGTGCGATTGCTCGACTGTTTGACGCAGCGAGTGTCGAACAGGAGCTCCCTTCTGCGACAAGTAGAGAGCGAGCGCTCACACTCCCCCACTTCATGGGCTGGCCCAACAACGAGCACGAGTAGCTCACTACAGAGCTGGCCAAACGGGCCGGCCCGACCCGGCACGGCCCGACCCACCGTAAACGTGTCGTCCCGGCCCACGTGCTACAGGCAGCACGGAACGGGAGATAAGTGGGCCGGCCCGTGGCACATTTAGGCACGCCGGCCTATGTCGGCTTGATTTTTTTCATGAAATACCTTCAAAAAACAGGGGGAAAGCCAAAAAATGTAAAAAATACGGTGAAGTATTACAAAGAGATTAAAAAATACATCTTAAAGCACTACAAAAGTACGCATGCACTAAAAAATTAGTGAACATATTAAAGTATTAGGTATTTATATAGGACACATATATTTATATATTTCAAAAATAATAAATGGGTCATGTCGTGCCGGCCTGCATGCCCAGCCTCCAGGCTCAGGCATGGCCCATAGCGTGCCGTGTGTCGGGTCTGGCCCGTTTAGCCCGGGTTGTGTTGTTCCTGCGTGTTACTGGGCCGGCCCATTTAGCACGACCCGTTTGGCCAGCTATACTCGCTAGCGACGGACCGGAATCTAAGAGTCGATATGGTTGTTTCTAAAGAAAAAAAGTAATAACGCGTTTGGTTGGAGCGTAACGTATTCACTGTTGTAATGAGAATACATTGTATTAGATTAGTGGTAAGTGAACACGTGAAGTGTTTGGTTCACGCAAGGGAATAGGAAGCCTTGGAGGTGGAGTACGGTCGCCAGCCTTGTAGAAGATGCCGGAGGACCGGACGACGGTCGGCTACTAGGGATGGTTAGTGACGGAAAATGAGATCACCAACCGTTCGCAACAACGCTACTGCTCACGGCGGTGAAGCGAGATCAGCGGCGCTGCCCATGGCCGCGGCGGCGGCAACGATGAGAGATCAGCGACACTGCCCACAGCAGCGGAGACGAATGGAGATTAGTGGCGCTCGGCGGCGGATGCAAACGGAGATCACCGGCGCTCGAGGGCGGAGGCGAATGGAGATCATTGAGACAACAATGGTACTGCTTATGACGAGGTAGATGCTGACGCTACTGCTTGGTTCTCCTGGTGAAGAAAACAGACAGGACGAGCGGTGTTATTCGATACCAAGCTGTATTGGGTGTTTTCGGTTTTGTGAAGGACGGTTTGTGATTACATGGGAGTTGTAACCGACGCGCCCGAAACAAACGCAAGTAACATCGTGAGCCACTGTATTTGGGAGACAGCGAAAATGTCACGAACCAAACGCGTCATAAATATGGCTTCGGTAGTCTATCTCCAAATCCAATGGCTCGGGATTAAATTCTTGCACAGTCTGCCTTCGATCAGAGTGCAAGGAATCCGTGATCTGGGGCCTTGAATGCTGAAACTCCAGATAGGGTTCTGAGCATGTCAAGAATTTTTGGAAGAAGTTGTGGCAATTTTCAATCCCTCCCAAAGTTTGTAAGAGCATCTGCAGATGGACTGAACAGATCCGGACCCCTATACACCCGCGGGAGCGTCCGGACGCGCCCGCAGACAGCATCCGGTGGCCTCTCATATGTTGCGTCGGACACCCATATAACTCAAATTCCGATCCTCAAATCCATGCAATCCATGCACGTCCATCATATATACAAATTGTCTGAATTCAAAAGTTTGAAACAAAGCAAAGCAAATCATTGTTCAACAAATCGGACATGCCAAAATGAATCAATGTCCGAGCATGACGGATGGCCTCGGATCACTGGCAGGGCGCCTGCTCCAAGCGGAATGCGTCCTGCTCGTCCTGCTCTGCATGCATCCATGCCGCAGTCACCCTCACCACCTCGTACTCTCTATGGTCGTTCATCTCCTTCTTTTTGTCTGCAAGCCACTTCTTTGCATGCTCATCCAAGAGGGTTTCATCTGCCAACATTCGCATCCTCTGCGTCCCGTGCGAGTTGCAACCTCTCCTTCTCAAACTCTATGTCGCCAAATGTCTTGGCCTTCTCGAGCTCCCATTCAAAAGCGCACCGACTCTAGTTCAGTCATTCCATCAAACATGTCGAGGGCAGCCTAGGCACAGCCGGTGCCCATACTCATCCGCGCTCGAACGAGCTACGGCGAGTCACATACGTCGACCACCGGCATCTACGTGGGCGGAAAGCTCTCTGGAATGGCCCAGACGGCCATTGAATCCTCCTTTGTCTCAACACGGTCGGACGGCGTAATCCGCGTCAACCCTCGGATGGAAGGGGTGCGGGATCCGTGCGCGACGGAGAAGACAACTGCTCCACCATGTCTATGATGGAAATATGCCCTAGAGGCAATAATAAAATGGATATTATTATATTTCCTAAATCATGATAAAGGTTTATTATTCATGCTAGAATTGTATGGATCGAAAACTTAAATACATGTGTGAATACATAAACAAACACTGTGTCTCCAGTGAGCCTCTACTAGACTAGCTCGTTGATCAAAGATGGTTAATGTTTCCTATTGAAAGGATCGATATGGTTGACTAGAGGGGGGTGAATAGGCAACTAACAATTTTTAAGCTTTTCTTTACCAAATTAAACTTTGCAACAAAATAGGTTGTCTAGATGTGCAACTAAGAGAGCAACCTATATGATGCAATAACAACTAGCACAAAAGCAAGCAATGGATGTAACACAAGTAGGCTTGATAAAGTAAAGGCACGAAATAACCAAGAGTGGAGCCGGTGGAGACGAGGATGTGTTACCGAAGTTCCTTCCTTTTAAGGGGAAGTACGTCTCCGTTAGAGCGGTGTGGAGGCACAATGCTCCCCAAGAAGCCACTAGGGCCACCGTATTCTCCTCACGCCCTCACACAATGCGAGATGCCGTGATTCCACTATTGGTGCCCTTGAAGGCGGCGACCGAACCTTTACAAACAAGGTTGGGGCAATCTCCACAACAACTGGAGGCTCCCAACAACACCACGAAGCTTCACCACAATGGAGTATGGCTTCGAGGTGACCTCAACCGTCTAGGGTGCTCAAACACCCAAGAGTAACAAGATCCGCTAGGGATAAGTGGGGGGAATCAAATATCCTGTGGTGGAAGTGTAGATCGGGCCCTTGTCACCCAATCCCGAGCAAATCAACAAGTTTGATTGGCTAGGGAGAGAGATCGGGCGAAAATGGAGCTTGGAGCAACAATGGAGCTTAGAGGTGGAAGAGGTAGTCAACTAGAGGTAGAAGACACCCCTTATATAGTCGAGGGAAAAATCCAACCGTTATCCACATGTTCAGCCCGCGACACACGGTACTACCGCTCCAGGGGCGCGGTACTACCGCGAGGCTGCGCGGTACTACCGTGGCGGACCACGGTACTTCGGCGACAGTAGCACAAGCCGGAGCTTGCCTGACTAGGGGGCAGTACTACCGCTCGCGCGGTACTACCGCTTCCCCTTGCGGTACTACCGCAAGGCAGGAAAGTCACGGCCTGGGAAGGGCGCAGATGAAATAAATTATATCCGTGCCTACTTCCGCTGAAACTAGGGTGGTACAAAAATCCGACGCGGTACTACTGCTCGCGAGGCGCGGTACTACCGTTGCGAGCGCGGATGTAAAAAATTACATCCGCGACTACTACC